AGATGTGGCCCTCAACTAGATACCATCAAGAAAAAATCTCTGTGTGGGCATTAACATCAAGGATAGGTGGCCCTCAAAACTGCTCAACTGCCTGACCATAACCTGGTTGGATGAAGGAAACATACTCAGCTGGAGAAGATTTGAATCAAGACTTAATTAGGAAAAACCTATCAACATTCGTTTGGTTATCCATATGAATAAAATTCTGCTAAGGAAATATCAACAAAATCTACTATAGTAACATCAACACCACTCTACTGGGGAGAATAAGAACAAACTCCATTGAGGACAACACTAAGTTTTGTGCTTGAAGATTTTTGACATTCTTAGAATAACTGTTGACATTCCTTTTTATATTCATAAATCAAAGGAAAATGTTTTTATAATTTTCAAAATTTTAAATCAAATATTCACATTTGTTTCAAAAATCATCATCAAAAATAAAATGAAACTATGCAAACAGAAACAAAATAAAAATTGCAAATAAAGGGACAAAGGCCCAAATTTTATTGATAGAATGGTAGTCCACAAAAGGCGTAACTCCACGGATCATTACAAAGTTTGAAAAATGTTAAATACAATGGATGAGGCTATATTGAAATACAATGACCACTATTCTCTCTAAAAACTTTTAATTCCACTGTGCTTGAGACTTCAACTAAGGATGATTGAAGTAAAGTTCTTAATAGGAAATGCTGCTTCAAGCGATTAAGACTGGCTAGACGCAGTTACTTGTCATAATCCCTAACTTTTTCCTAGATTTCCCTCTCGGGTTTTCCATTTACCGGGACAATTATTTCTCTTTTTGTCTCTAATTTTTTCCCGGACCACCCTTTTCGGGTTTTCAATCCGTTGAGACACTCATTTTTGCCTAAGCCGCCCTTTCGGGTTTTCAACTTAGCAAGTTGTTCTTTTATTTTTTTTAGGCGAAGTATTTATTTACTGCATCGACATTCACAGGACGACTGAACTCTTCACCATCTATAGTTGTAAAAATTAATGCATCGCCAGAGAAGGCTCTCTTAACAACATATGGGCCTTTATAATTAGGAGTTCACTTACCCCTAGAATCAGTGGTAAAAGTCAAGATATTTTTGAGCACGAGATCGCCTTCTCTGAACACACGAGGTCGAACCTACTTGTAAAAAGCTTTCTTCATGCTCTGTTGATACATTTGGCCATGACACAATTTCGTCATTCTTTTTTCCTCAATCATATTCAATTGGTCGTATCTACTCTGACACCATTCAGCCTCAGACAAATCAGCTTCTCTCAAAACCCTCATTGAAGAGATTTCAACCTCTACCGGGAGCACTGCTTCCATACCATAAACAAGAGAGAAAGGGGTTGCCCCTGTTGAATAGCAGACGGATGTACGATACCCATGCAGAGCCAAAGAGAGCATCTCATGCCAATCCTTGTATGTAATAACCATCTTCTGAATGTTATTCTTAATGTTCTTATTAGCAGCTTCAACAACCCCATTCATCTTAGGTATGTAAGGAGAAGAATTATGATGTTCAATCTTAAACTCATCACATAATTCCTTCATCATCTTGTTATTCAGATTCAACCCATTATCAGTCATAATCTTGCTCGGAACACCACACCGAAAAATGATTTGGTTCTTGATAAACCGGACCACTACATGCTTGGTCACATTGGCATATGACACTGCTTTAACCCATTTGGTAAAATAGTCAATATCCACCAATATGAAACGGTTTCTGTTTGACGCTTTAGGCTCGATCATTTCGATCATATCAATGTCCCACATGGAGAAAGGCCATGGAGAAGAGATAACATTAGGAGGAGTTGGAGGCACATGAATTTTGTCAGCAAAAATCTGGCATTTATGGCACTTCTTCACATATTTACAACAATCAGATTCCATTGTCAGCCAATAGTAACCAGCCCTTATCATCTTCTTAGCCATTGCATGTCCATTGGCATGGGTACCAAAGGATCCTTCATGAACTTCTTTCATCAACATGTCTACTTCACGCTTGCCTACACATCTTAGCAAGACCATGTGTAATACCCCAAATTTTATCCTCAGATTTAATCGATTCATGTCGCATGACATCTCATTTTTTGCATCAACTAACTACTAACGGGTTACGTCGTTTGTTTGCTTTGCAAGAATCACGTCTGGTACACTTTAACTGTGGAGGGGCGAAATTGTCATTTATCCGTTGTTTGCTGCCGGTTTAGGAAGCAGAATCATTGTCAGGAATCCATTGAGTTATTGGGATCTCCGGTTCCGAGTTCTTTATTTTATTTGAGAATGAACATAAATTCATGGTAATTTTGGCATCAGGATTTTTGAGATACGGTAATTAATTCAACGGGCCGAGATTTTGTCGTCAGTGGGTTTCCGAGACATTTATGTTGTCATGGGGGTTTGATGAGGTTGAGATATCAATTTGGTTCGGCTCAAGTCGATGCAAGAATCCATTCAGCGGAATTTGGTTTTAACAGACGTTTATTTTCTGTTCTTATGTTGTCTACCAGTCAATTCTTAAAGTAGTGGAAATCTCGATTCATGTTCAGGTTTATATAAGTTCAGGATATTGGATTTAATTAGTAGACACACCAAGTGAATTTTTAGCACGGAGTAAAGTTCTTTTTACTATTAATTGGATTTCTCTAGTTTCGTTCTATTTTACATTGTTCAAAGTCGTTACCGATTTTATCATCAGGCGTGATTTAATTTGGGAATATATTGGAAGAATTGAAGTTCATATCAGTTATGTGGAACGGTTGGATTTAATCGGATATTTGAGGTGTTTGCCAAAAAATTAAATCATGGAAAGGAAATTGGAAATTGTTCTTGATAGAAAATATTTGAATTTTATTCATAATATTTTTTATTATTACAATTTATAAAGAGGAGATGATTTTGAATAGAAATATTGTTGAATTTTTATTCATAAATATTTTATTACAAATTACAAACAAAGAAAATTAAGTTACATTTCCTATCCTAAAATTTCTAAGTTCTTCATGCGGTATTTTTTCCACCCGACTTTATACCCGATTTTTCTTCATACCTGCACGAGATAAACAAAGAACAAAGCAAACAGAATATTAAAGTTAGAAAAAGTGGTTTTCTCGTTTGGTTGACACCCTCAGAGTAGTTTCATCACCGGGTGTCAGGAGGGTAACGACCAATGCCGAAGCCGACTCCCAAACCGATTTCGACCTCGGTACCAATAGGCAACATTTGTTCTTGTTTTTTTTTGGAACAGCCGAGAGAAAGAGGAAAAGAAGTTTTAGCCGAAAAGTGATTTTACGCCGAAAAAGAGATTATTTGAGCCAAACAGGTTACTAATGGAGTCAAATCCGATTCTATCAAGCAAATTAATCGGATACCCGAATCAAATCCGAAACCGGATTCACGGCAACAAAATCCAGAAAATCCATTTCATCAAGTAAATATTATGGAATCCAGAAATCCGGATCCAGTTTCGAAGCAAACGCGAAATCCAAATTCAAAATCAAAATTCGGAATCCATGGATATCCAGACGGATCCATGGTAGCAAAATCCAACGTCTAAAAAGAGAAAATCCAATCAGTATCGGAAACTCAGTACCAACAACAGATCCGTATCCATCTGGAAAAAAAAATCCAATCAATGTCAAAAAGCAAATCCATATCAGGAACAAAAACCGGAATCAAATTAGATTCAGATTAAATCAAATCTCATTTCCTTTTCCAGCATAAAATGTAACGCAACAAATCGTATCCAAGCCCAACAAAGAGAGATATAAAAGGAACAAACTCACCAGATGACAAAACCCTAACGGAACGGTGACAAAAACAACAAGACGACACAACAAACTTACCAGAACCGCGGCGAAATCACAACGGCGGCCAAATCATAAAACAAGGAACGAACTTACCAAACGGAGTCTCCACAGATCACATAACAGAAGCCAAAAACGGCCTCCAAACAACTCAAAAAACGGCCGCGAATCACTTGCAAAAGCACTAACGAACCGAAAGCCGCCGAAATCCAGAGATCCTCGGTTGAGGATCTTCAACGGATCTAGAAAACTCCAGCCTCAGTTATCACGTCACCGACCAAAGGGAAACGAGAGACCGTCGGCTCAGTTTTTTTAACATCATTGCCGTCATCACCGAAGAGTATCATCAAATGAGTCAAAATCATCAAAACGTTAACCATTTTTTTCCACTTGTTTGTTGTTTGTTTCAGGGCCAGAAGAAAAGAAGAGGAAATCATGTTCAAAGAAAGAAGATACATGGCCAAGAAGGAGAGATACGAAGAGGATGAAAGGATGGCTTTTTTTCAAAAAATGAGAGAAGAGGATTTGTCTTCTTTGGACGGCCGCCGTTGAGTGTTTCTGTTTTAGGAAAACCCTAAAACTCTTAACTCTCCCCTTTGTTTAGTGTAGGACCGGGAGTGATGACCGCCGCAACCCACTTTTTTTTTTCTTTTGTTTTTGCTTTATATATATATCACTTCTCAATTTTATATATATAAGTGATATATATATATATATATATATATATATATATATATATATATATATATATATATATATATATATATATATATATATATATATATATATATATATATATATATATATATATATATATATATATATATATATATATATATATATATATATATATATATATATATATATATATATATATATATATATATATATATATATATATATATATATATATAATTGAGAAGTGATAATACTCTTGACTCACTGTTTGTTTGTTTGTTGAAAGTCAATACCGACATCATAATATATTTATAATATTGGATTGGAAAATATTCTCAACCGATAATACTTACGAGTTGTGACTCTGACTCTCACTAATTGTTTGGTTGTTAAAAGTTGATAATATATATTGGATTGTAAAATATTCCAAAGTGATAATACATGTGACCCACGCTTACTGTTTATTTGTTAAAAATTGAAAACACAAACACCAAATATTCATTTGCAAAAGAATGGCTTCATCAATCAATGGCCGAAAACCAAGTGAAATTTTCAAAGCACAAATTCTCTTATACAAACACATACTCGCTTTCTTAGATTCCATGTCTCTTAAATGGACAATTGAAATGAACATACCTAATATTATCCATGATCATGGCCAACCAATTTCTCTTTCAAACCTTGTTTCAGTTCTTCAAGTTCCATCATCGAAAATCAGTACCGTGCAGCGTCTCATGCGTATCCTTTCACACAATGGATTCTTCGAGGTTGTAACTAATCCAGAGATGGAAAATGAAGAAGAATCTTATGCTCTTACTGTTGCATCAGAGCTTCTTGTTAAAGGAAGTGAAATCTGTTTAGCTCCAATGGTTGAGGCTGTTCTTGTTCCAACTTTTTTAGGTTCGTATTGTGAGATGAAAAAGTGGATTTATGAGGAAGATCTTACACTCTTTGATGTTACTTTAGGATCTGGTTTTTGGGATTTTCTTGATAAAAATCCGAATTACAATAGATCTTTTAACGAAGCAATGGCTAGTGATTCTAAAATCATAAACTTGGCTTTGAGAGAATGTAATTTAGTGTTTGAACAATTGGAATCAATTGTGGATGTTGGTGGAGGAACTGGAACATGTGCTAAGATTATTTGTGACATATTTCCTAAGTTGAAATGCATTGTTTTTGATAGGCCACAGGTTGTTGAGAATTTATCTGACACCAACAATTTGAGCTATGTTGGTGGTGACATGTTCACATCTATTCCTAATGCTGATGCTGTTCTTCTTAAGGTATGTTTTTCTAAACCAAGGTTTTAAATAACTATCCCCGTTGTGCTGTTGTTTAAAGATTTTTGAATATGCTCATTATGATGTGAATTAATCATAATTTATTTATTATCATAAAAATAGTTAATAACAGTATCGGTATTGCAATATTTCAATACTGTTTTGTCGTGACTGTTTTTACGGAAAATGACAATTTTTAAAATTTTAGTAACCCTTGAATCCTTTATGTTTAATATTTTCTTGATAAATTATTTGAAGAAATATTTACTATTCTGCAGTGGATTTTACATAATTGGAGTGATGAGGATTGTATAAAGATATTGAAAAATTGTAAGGAAGTTGTTACAAATGATGGAAGAAAAGGGAAAGTGGTTGTGATAGATATAGTGATAAATGAAAAGAAAGATGAGAAGAACCTTACTAAAATGAAGCTCCTTATGGATGTAAACATGGCATGTATTAGTGGAAAGGAGAGAAATGAAGAAGAATGGAAGAATCTCTTTATCCAAGCTGGCTTTCAAGACTATAAGATATCTCCTTTGACTGGATTTTTATCTCTTATTGAAGTCTATCCTTAAATATTGTTGTTCTTAGGTGCGAAGAGAATTCTTTCACCTTCACATAATGGTTATAGAATCTTATCTTTTAGATTAATCAATAACGGATCGAGATTTTTTCTGATCTAATGGATATGTGGTTCTTTCCTCATCTCATAGTGGTCTTTTATCTTGTGTTGGTTGTACAGATGATTTAAGATCTAGCTTGATCTTTCTTTGGGATGGAGCTCTTATATGACAGATTTTTATGGCTTGTTTGTTTTTTGCCATGCAGTTTTTTCTTAATCTTTTTCTGTGTTTACGGTTTGTAGCTTGTGGTACTTCTTGTACCAATCTTTTGTTCATTTGTCCTTGGTTTGGACTTTTTACCATATTAGTATTATATGCATGATGATTTAGTATTATATGTATTAAAATTTAAACTATGTACAAGAGTTGTAATGAATTTGGAGAACACAATTCACTCTTTCTTTTTTGTGTATTTTTTTCACCTTCAGTTGATATCAGAGTCTAGTCTCTGTATAACAATTAACAGTGGTGAAGACAAAGATCTTGTGAGAAAAATATATTTTCACCACCGTAATGAAAAGAAGGGAGTCAAAGATAAAGACATTTATTGAAAGCAACTAGTCTCCTTTCCAATGGTGTTATCCTTTTGGAAAAGATAGTTCAAAATCTTATCTTTAGAACAAGTCAAAGAAGTTTCATCAAAACATGCTAGGAATTCAGAATCAGAAATTCTATTTAGGTAAGTTCTGTTATTTAGTCTCAAGTATAATATTCAGTACAAGGTATTCTTATGTGTATATTTTTACACTCAGATACTTTGGAGGATATTAATTTAAGAACTTTCAGATTGGTGTTATTGGTATTCTCATCGTTTATGATAATATCAAGTTCTATATTGAATAAAAGAAATCTTTTCAAACATTCTTGAATCAAGTTCTCTTACTACTGTTCAAAAGAATTTGATATATCTTATGTTCTTCTGAGAACCAACTCGTAATTATGATAGAGTTAAAAGGCTGATAAAAATTGCGAACCTGATAATTTATGCTTAATATTGAATGAAGAAACCGAATCAGATATTTGTCAAATGATATCTCAGTCAAAAGCTTGGGTAACAAACTTTTGATATGAAATAGAATTCTGAGAAATCTCTATTTCTGAAACATGTATTAAGAAATCTTTGATTCCCATATGCATAGAAAGATTAAATCTTTTTGACAATTGTCCTACTCTTTACACCTTTCTGAAATCTCTTCAACATGCTTGACATTAATTGTGTTTTGAATTTGAAGGAGAATGAATTTGTTTTAAGTACTTTTGTGTTTAAGTATCTTAATTGTCTTTTATTTCTCTCAACACTTTCTCAACACACACAATCTTTATCACTGTTCTTCGTTTGTGTTTTATCTGCAAACTCTAGAAAAACCTTAAAACCTCATAAATGGCATCCTCAGCAACCAGTCCTTTAAATATTAATTCCATGCAAAAGCTTAACATCAAGCTCAAGACTATTTTGCTCAACAAATATGAATTAAAGCTTTTCATTGAGCAAGTGGTTGATTTAGATAATTTTGATGGAAATGATTGCCCATTGAAGAGTTATCTTGAGTTCTAAGGTTGGATGAACTTCTTTGATATGCTGAATGGTCCAACTTACCCAACACTGGTAAAAGATTTTCGAGTTTGAGCAGAAGTGTATGATAAGTACTCTGCACAAGATAAAGAAAGAAGTGTTGTAGAAAAATATAGAAGTTTGAAAGAAAAGTCAAGAGCATAAATGGGTCTGAAAGAGTTCAAACGAGTGTAAATAAGATCTGTTGTAACGGGTCTAAAAATCATCGTAACTCAATAGGACATTGCTCAACTAATTGGGCTGAAAATAAAGGTATGGTAATAATCAACAAAAAGGACGAAGAAGATTATGCCAGGGATATTAAGAAGGCTCTATTTGAAGAAAAAAAAGATGATTATGGAAATGTGTAGAACATGCATCTCAAGAAAATGTTGTTGTTCAAAATTTTTAACGGTTGTTTAATTTCTCGAGAAGGAAGTTTGGATCAAATTTTATGGGATCATAAAATGTTTCTTTGGTATCTGTCTACTGATCAACGTTTAAATTTTCCTAGTTATATTTTTCATCATTTATGTGAATCCATCAAGGACTCCACTAAGAAGTTGAAAAGAACAGTTCCTTATGCAAGACTGATTTCTAAACTTTTCCATCAATGCAAATTGATTAACATACTGATGGAATTTGGTTCTACATAAGAATTGGGCGGTGCCTATGGTAGTGTTCTATCTGCATCTGTTCTCTCTCACATGAAGAAGAGAAGGAAAAAGGATATTGTAATGATTTCTAATTCTATCAAACTCAGAAAAGATAGAAAAAGAGCTTTTCTAGAAGACTATCCTTTGTTGACCAAGGAAGATTGTCCTAATGTCATCAGATTTCTTCTGGAATAAGCTAAGAGGGAACATGGAGTAACTATGTCTCGTGACCAACTTCCTGATAAGTACCCTGATGTTTATGGTCTTAGAGGAAGAAGAAAAGGAAGAAACTCACCTCTAATGATGAAGAAGAAGATGAAGAATCAGACACTCATATGTCTACTAAGAAGAAACTATTAGGAGATGCTCAAAAGGAAGTTCAGAAGGAGGAATAAATATTTGTTCAAAAGACAATAAAGAAAATGGATCTATACAACTCAAGAAGGCCCTACAACATGAAGTTGAAAAACTCATGGACACTATTGAGATTCGTCCTACCAAAACTAGAGGAGGAGGATCTGGCAGTAATTTGGATAAAGAACTATCTACACCAAAGAAAAGGAAGCTGATGAAGTTGAGTTAGAAGGAAGAAGAAAAGGAAATAAATAATTCTCATCAGAAGTTGACAATTTCATGACAGAAGTTTTCAAGAGAAGTATTGTCGCTACTCGAAAATGCAACGACAGAGAGACAGAAACGGAAAGACAGAAGAGTCACCATCGAACTTTATTTATCTCATAAGGGGAAATGAAAACATCAAGAAAACCCCAAGATAGAAACCGATAAGATGGTCTCGCAACCAAGAGAAAGGGTTCAGAAGCCGGTTATGCGAAGGGAAGGTATTAGCACCCCTCGCATCCGTCGTACTCGATGGGAACCATTTGTTTGTCTATGTGTGAAGGTATTTGGTAAAGGGTATTATTATAAAGAGTGTTCCAAGGGGATAGAGAAAGGCTAGAAACGGGGAAAAAGAGACTCGGTAGGACCTCGCGGTCCTATGCCTAAGTATTCTTAACGGGTATGAGAAAGTCAGAGTCAATGTAGTTCGGGGAACCATGGATAAAAGACGGGAAAGTGCTCGGCAAGGATTGGGGCCCTTGTGCCTACGTATCTTTACTTAAAATAAGTAAAGAATCAGAGAAGCCGTAGTTTAGCCTACGGTTAACTGGTGTTTTTGTGGATGATGCTAACATACGCATTCTAGCAGTTAGGTGTATTGCAGCTCACTTGTGGAGTCTTAGGCGTTACTGTTAGAAGTATTTTTCGATAGCGTTTTATCGTATCCACAGGGATTGATGAGAATATGTGATACTTTCTGTTCAATGCTTTAATGATTTAAGAAAGGGTTTTTTTTAAATGGTTTTTATTTTTGTAACAAGAGTTTGTAAGAAATAAAACAGAATAAAAGTTGTTCTTAGTTCGATAAAAAGCATGCCAAGATTAGGATTTGCTAATCCATCCTAAACGTATCCAATCAATCAAATATGTGAACGTAGTTTTAACCAACATAGCCGCGTATCCTCGCAAAAATGTTCATTTCTAAAGCGATTTCGGGAATGTTATGGTTTCGACCGTCAAATAATCTTTCAAAATAACACTCGAAACAATAATCATCAAGATCAATACAAAGCGAATATCAACTTTCAAACCTATGTCTAGAGTTTGTATAGTTGATAGATGAAGAAATTAGGTCAAGGCTTGAAAATTTCATGTCTAAAGCAATCCAAACCATAAATATAAAAAAAGATAGCAAATAACTTCATCTATATTAATCAAATCTTTGTTCACATACAAAAGATCAAGAAGAATACATAAAATCGGAACTAGCTACCTCTAACCTTGACAAAAGAGGGGTTTTAGCCACCCATTTCCATGATAGCTTGAGCAACAAGTTTCGGAAGAAGGTTGATCAACATCCGAGTCGAATAATCGAGATTGGATGGGAATCCACCTTCTTTTTGTGAAATATGGCTAAGAGATGATGAGAAATGGAGAAACTAGGGTTTGGGCTCTGAAAAATCTCTAAAAAGAAAAGTACAAGAAAAAAGATATTTTTCCAAAAAGTAGTGCATACTACTTATAAACATGCTGCTGAGCTGTCTCGTTCGCACTGCGAACAATGCAAATTGGCAGTTGAAGTGCCTGTGAACAGTGAAGACGCCCCTGAGATATTTCCTCATGTTCGCTGTGCGAAGAATCCTTCGCAGTGCGAAGGCTTCGCTACAAACTTCGCACATCGAATTCTTGTCCAAATACTTACTGAGACAGCCTATGTCCCATTAGTGGAATTCTAATGAAACCTTATAAAAATACAGAAAAATTTGAAATTTTTAAAGGACAATACTTAATTATTTAAAAACATACTGTTTCACATACATATGCTTCAAATATATTTTACAGAGTTTGACACCGTTAAGACTAGCGGCCTTGCCACATAGATAAAACATAAAATAAAAGTACAGAAAGGAAACCAAAAAGAAAGCATACCAAAAGGGACCTCCTAAGTCCAACAAGACTGACACTTATACTGACTGTAGTAGTAGGGATGTGATTAGCGTTTGACAAAACACTAACAGCTCCCAATCTAGATGTTATAGTAACACATCTCCACGTCACTTCATATCCTTTCCTTCTGAGTTGTCGGGAAGTACGCAAGATTCGAGCTCATCGTCTGATCGTCATAAAATAATCCAAAATGCAAAACAAAAATGACACAGGGCTAAGATTCATGTACAAGTTTAAAA